GGGGGGTTGGGGGCTGTGAGCAGGGGAGGGGCAGGAGGCTCAGTGGGGCAAGGACAGAGGTGGGAGGAGCTGGGAAGGAGGAGGCCTGGGCATGGGGGGCTGCCAAAGATGGAGAGGAGAGAGCAGGGCCCAGAGAGTGGGGGGCGAGCAGGGACGGTGCTGGGACCGCCGGGAGGGGAGGACAAGGCCGGCAGTGGGGCCTGAACCCGAGACCCTCCTCCTCCTTCTTCCTTGCCTCCCCTCAAGTCCTGGCACTTTAGGCCTACAGGAGGGCTGGCCAAGGCCTGGCCGAGCCGGCCACCCCCTCTCCCCTTGTCCTTCCAGCACAGCCCCACCCTCCTGCCACAGCCTGGCCGCTCCTGCCCGGCCTCTGCCTTGGCCTGTGGGGGAGCAGCAGTCAGGGAAGGTGGCACGCCGCTGGGTTCTGAAGGGTATGTAGGAGTTGGCTGCTGGCCGTGAGGTGCTCCAGGATGAAGAAACGGCGATGGGGAAGGCTGGGTGTGTGCACGCGTGTGGGGAATGAGTGTGCGCTCTGGGCACTGCGAGTAAGGCGTGCGGTGCCTCGGCAGGGGGCTACCCAGGCTGAGGGGCTCCGACCTTACCCTGGGGGCCGGAACACCCCAGTCCTTCCTCGCACAGGGAACAGGCCCGTGCCTGGCCCTGCTTGGCGGCCTCTGCTTCCCAGCAAGGCCAACTCCACCTCCTCTTTACCCTGGGTCAGAGAAGGGACCTGCTTTGGGACCAGCAGTTGGCGTAATGGCTACGTCACTGGACTCCCAGGTAGTTGACTGTGGTTCGAATCTTGGACCCGGTGGCTTAAACTCACGCCGGGTGCATGTGCGTGTGTGCCCAAGATCCCAAGAGGAGAAGGGATTGTGGCGTGGCCATCCCCCCTGGGGGTGATCTCTCACTGTCTGTCTCTCTGTCTCTGTCTTCTACCTGCCTCCCCTCGCTGGGGCGGTTAGGGTCCTGGGACAGGTGTGAGGCCTATGGAAAGTCTACACCCAGGCCTCTGAGCATGAATCCAAGTTGATCTCTGCTTTTTAAAAGATGTTTTTATTGGTAGAGGGCATGTACACTTTCCAGAGAGAGACAGAGAGACAGAAGGGAAGGCCTTCCTACTGGGGTGCGGTCACACTTCAAACCCTTCTCTTTCATGTCTGTGTCCTGCTGAGACTTGGGGTACACACACCCAGTGTATTTTTTTCAGCTGTCGGGTCCAGGATTCGAGTGGGATCCGGCTCACGCCACCAGGCCACGGCCGTCTCTGGTCTCTGCTTTGCTGTGGGATCTTGAGTATCTGAATCTCCCTCTCTGAGCTGCTGTTGCCCCAGCAGGAAGGGGGAGCCACTGAGTAGACACCTCGAGGGGCTCTGAGGCTAGGAAGAGGAGGGAACAGCTGGGGAGGGCCTGAGGCTGGAGAAGGGCTGTTCCAGGAGTGAGGGCTGGGCAGTGGGAGGACAGGAGAGGGGCTGCAAAGGAGAGCGGCGGGGGGGGCGGACCCCTCACGGACTCCACCCCAGCTAAGCGGCTGCAAGGCTGCCAGGGCGCTGGGGGGCCTGGCAGGGCTGTGAGCAGAGGAGGGCAGGTCGGCGCCCAGCCCTGTGGGGAGGCCTTGCAGGACAGCTGCGGGATGAGCGAATGTGGAGCCCCGTGGGTCCCGAGCGCCAGACCAGCCGCGGAGGACCCTGCGGAGAACCCTGCGGAGACCT